AAGGAAAGACCGCAGATTGCCATATGTTGCTTAGAATGATTAGGTAAATTAAAATGTCTAGCGACTGGTTTCGATGTGTCCTTGTCATTCCTTTCCACGTCTCGAAGGTGTTCTCGGAATCGGTCACCTAGTCTTCTGCCTGTTTCGCCGATGTATATCTTTTTGCAATAAGTGCAAGTTATGCAATAGATTACATTGGCGGAGGTGCACGTGAAGTGATCGGTGATCTTAATGGATCGTTTAGGTCCCGATATTTTATCAGTGTTGTGAATGAAAGGACACGTTTTGCATCGTGCACGAGCGCATTTAAAAGTGCCTGGTTGGTCATTAGTCTGAAAAGAACTTCTGACCAAAAAATTGCCTATGTTTTTGTCGCGTTTGAATGAAATGAGCGGAGGCTGCGAAAAGATAGTGCTTGTCTCTGGATCGTTTTGAAGTAATTTAAAGTTTTTAAGAATGATGGATTTAACTGAGTGGTTGTGAGGGTGAAACGTGAGAGTGAATGGAATGCGGTCGGAATCTTCCTTTTGTGACGTTTGTAGTGCTGAATGTCGATCAATAAGTTGGGCGCGGTAGTAAACCGCTTGAACGACAGAAACAGGGTAAGCACGGTAACTGGCACATTGACTCTGATTTGGGGTTGAAGTCAGAGTCATCACTACATAAACGGCGAAGTCTTAGAAACTGAGAAAAAGGAATGGAATTCTTAACGTGAGATGGATGCGAAGACGAATATAACAAGTAATTATGCGAGTCTGTAGGTTTGTAATACACACTAGTGCATAAACCGTTGCCTTCAATTGAAACTTTGAGGTCTAAAGAAGATAAAGACTTGTCAGAAATTGCCCAGGTATATTTCAGAGCCGGGTGAAAAGAATTGACTGCGGTTATGAATTGAGTCAGCTCCTCTCTGGTAGAGGAGGTTGCGCCGATACAGTCGTCGATGTAGCGACCGTAGAGTTCAGGTTTGGAGCCATTGTATTGGCTGAAAAATTGGTGTTCGACAAAATAGAACACCATAATAGATTTCAGGAACAGTAATCAGAGACATACTTGACCTAACAGAGTTCAATGTGCAGGCAAATGAATGATAGTATCATATGATTTAAAATATCAGAATTTTTCAAGTTTTCTTATTATTGAAATTGAAATTTCATGCCAGTGTGTTTCCAAAATTTCAGCTGCATGGAGACATGAAATGAATAGGTGTACTTGACATCATCATGTAAATGGTCAACTTAACATGCTATCAAAATTTGTCCTTCAGCTGAAATCTTGCTCAGGAATGCAATTTTGTTAGTGGTTATCAGTATACATAAAAATATCCAAGATTTTGTTTATTTTGGTCAGCTACCATGTGTATCAATCAGCACAACCAACTTCATGTAAATCTGGTTGGTTTCTCGTGTAATCTGTTGTTACTGAGCCCAGTTTACTCTGATTAGTACTTGAGTTTTGCACTAGTGATACATAAAAAAGAGAATTAACMSRTTT